ATCCCAACAATAAATGTTGGCAAAGACGCAGGAAAAAGGAACCCTCATACATTGCTGGTACAAATGTAAGCTAGTACAACCACTTTGGAAAACAAAATGGAGGCTTCTAACACACATGCACAGGAAATTAATGTGAGTCAACTTCCTGTATAGCTATCTTTATCTCAACCAGCAAAAACCCTTGTTCCTTCCTATTATGGTTTATACTCTCTCTACAACAAAATTAGAAATAAGGGCAAAATAGTTTCTGCTGGGTATTGAGGGGGTGGGGGGAGAAGGAGGGGGCAGAGTGGGTGGTAAGGGAGGGGGTGGAGGCAGGGGGGAGAAATGACCCTTGTATGCACATATGAATAATAAAAGAAAAAAAAACTAAACATAGATCTGCCATATAATCCAGCAATCCTACTCCTAGGGATATACCCATAGGAATGCAACTCAGGTTACTCCAGAGGCACCTGCACACCCATGTTTATTGCAGCGCTGTTCACAATAGCCAAGTTATGGAAACAACCAAGATGCCCCACTACTGATGAATGGATTAAGAAAATGTGGTATTTATACACAATGGAATTTTACTAATCTACAAAGAATAATGAAATCTTATCATTTGCAAGTAAATGGATGGAACTGAAGAACATCTTCTTAAGATAAGTTAGCCAGGCTCAGAAGGCCAAAAATCATTTGTTCCCCCTCCTATGTGGACTTTAGACCTAAAGCAATTGCAGTAACATTACTGGACATGAGTCACATGCTAAGGGGAGAATGCATACAGGAAGAATAGGGAAAGGGAAGGAAACCTAAAACTTGAAAGTGTTTGATGTGCCCACTGCAGAGGACCTAATAAAGTAATCATAAACTGACAGAGGCCACTATAGGAAGGTGGCCAGGAAGTAGTGAAGAGATCTGGTAGAGATGAATTAATTCAGGTTGTAATACACATGCTCATGGAAGCAATGCTAGGAATCTCTGTATAGCTATCTTTATCTCAAGCTAGTAAAAATTCCATGTCTTTCTTATTATCTCTTCAACAAAATTGGAGAAGAGGGCAGAACAGGTTCTGCCTCAAAGCAAGAGGAGTGGGAGGAGATGGAGGGGGCAGAGGGAAGGGGCAAGAAATGGCCCAAACAATATATACACATATGAATAAATGAATAAACAATTTTAAAAGGCTATGCAAACTTAAAAAAAGATCTAAAATTACTCTGAAATACTTGCAGAAACATGCAACAGACATAGAAGGTGAGATACTGCCTGATTAAAGTTGTCAAAGTTTTCACAATAATGTTTAGATATACCATGACTTCCACCAAAATTCATTTTTATTATGTCATATAATTAAATATATATTTTTATGAAATATATATTGGTGAATTATGAACAGAATAACTTATATATCACAACTAAAACTTGGGTTATGATACAGAATTGTAATATCTCATGTGATTTAAATATTCAAAATTATATGAATATAAAAATTATAAAATGAAATCAAACCTAGTAGGAATGTATTGCTGATGTTAGTGTTTTCCATATATTTTTCTATGTTAGATATAAAAACACATTTAATAATAATAATGGGACACAAATGTAAAAGGTGGATGGTCTAGAAGGGTATCAACTTTAGGGAGAGGGAGAAAGGAAAGGCTACTGACAGGTGAAGAGGACTGCAGTATATTGTAATGAGTATAATGGAGGGGTGAACTTGTTCAAAGTACATTGTATGTGTGTGTGGAATTATCACAATGAGCTCCCTTGGTATTATTAATGAATGCCAATTCAAAAATATATCAAAACTATTTAAAACAAAGGGCAGAGTCACCACCTTTCCTGTTTTGATATATATGTGTGATATTTTTAAGAACCAACAATCTTGAGACTCAAGCAATCCTGGTGAGAAGCAAGTTCCAGATATAGTAAAGAGAAATCACTATCCTCCTTGCATCCTGGACTCTCCTGTCGTTAAGATGTAGAAGTGGAATTCTGACTTCAAGTCTCCATCTCTCCATATCTTTCCCTGACCCTATAGGGAAGCCATCTCCACTCCCTGCCTGTGGGAGTTTTAGGCGCCTGGAGGTTAACTGTAATTGGGTTCATTTGCAAAAGTTGTATAAACAAGAGAAAAAAAGTCTTGCTTAAGACAGGTGGCTGCTCATCTTGATCCACACAGAATCCCTATTGAGGTAAGGGATGCAAGGTAACTCTCACTGTATCATGGGCTAGGTGGGCAATAGTCACATGGAAGGCTTCAGGGTTCCACTCAGAACAGCAAGGGAATGAAAATCAGACTTCTGTAAGATTTTAGCCATCAACTGATCCCATTTGTAATGTGGCTCCTGCACAGACTGTTATCTATCTTACAAGCAATGGCATTTCTACTCTGTTACGGGCTGGAATTAGGCCATAACTTTTCTTAGAATCAATTTGTGCATGGGTTTTTCTGAGCACTTCACTGTGTCACAGGAAGACTCATGAAGTAAAGGATGGGAGTGAGATGTGTCGGTGTGGACACAAACCATAGAAATCTATGGCAACGCCTCATCCTGCCCCAAGCAGTCTGACATGCATTATGTCATTTTACATTTGCAAGACCCAATGGTGTAGATACCTTTCAAGGTGTAATGCAGGAACTAATTTCGGAATAGTTTGGATTCAAATCCAAGCAATTTATAACTTCATAGAGTAGTTTTGGACAAAGTAGTTGCAAATGTTCACTTTTTTTAAAAATCTCTGTTATAAATGGATAACCAACCCCAAAACTCCCCTTGAGCAAAATGTCATAATGCCAGCAATGCAACTAACTTTGTATAATAACAGATGTTAAATTCATGGAGTTTATATTATTTTATATTTTCAACATGAAGAAATGATGCAAGATTTACCCTAAGACATTATAAATCATTAATTTTTTCCTCCAAAGCATATATAATTTCTTTTTCTTGGTTTCCCCACAGCTTCTCCTTTATGTGGTCAGAGAAGAAATAAAAGCTGAAAAATTCAGGTTTTTTTGGAGAATGGATATGTGTTAACATTTAATATTACAATAAGGAAACTATGCAATATAGTGCTTAGAGATTCCTTACATATTATTATATTTTCATGCTGAAAGATTTATAGATATTTAAGACTAGGTTAATTTAATATACATTAAAATTTATTTCCCAAAAGTATACCTTCATTTTCTTTTCTTTTTTGTCTATTTATTTCTACCCTGTAAGAATATTCAATATCATTAAGGAGAAAGATGTGAAGAGATTTAAAAAATAAAATGACAAAGGGTAGAAGACAGGTAAGTGCTTTTGGTAAGGATTAATCAGAAAGAGTAAGGTGCAGATTAGAAGCAGCTAAGTCATGCAATTTGAAATGGAGCTTTTAACCATCACTCTTAATCAAATTAATGGTAAAAGTATTTTTAATGCCATATATAGAATAATATCCATCCTTTCTATTTATACCAATAACAGTACTCTGTCACCTAATTTGGGTAATTTATCAATATAATTAAGCAGGAGAGTTCAGGATCAATATCTTGGCTAAAAATCATGTCTATCACTGGCAAGCTGTTAAACCTTAAACAAGTTAATTTGAAAAAAACTCTCATGACACATGTATCCCACTGTTTCCATATTCCAAAGAAAATATCTATCCCCAGGGACCCTGAAAGTCAAATACTGAAAGTAGGCAGAATCTTTGGGTGTGAAACTTATATGACAGGTAAAGAGGCTAAAATATTGTAGATCATTGCCATTCAATATCAAAGTCCATTCCATTACACATATTATAATCCTGACTTTATTGGACACTGATTATGGGTTATATTTATTATCACAAGGACTACATAATATTTGAATTTCTATAGTAGTGAAGAAAGTGGTCCAGGTACAGTGCCAATTGTGTTTCTAAAGAAAGAAAAGAATAACCAGAAGAAACTACCTATTAGGATACCTGTATGACTTCCAAAATAGTGAGGATAGTATTTAAAAATAAAACAAATGCAAAATTGTGCACTATAAAGTTGGGTGGGAATCGAACAATTCAGGAGAAAAATATTTAGATAAGTAAAATATGAAAATAGAAACTTGGATGGAGCTGAATTCATGTGGCTTGAACTTAACCAAGAGTGAGTTGCTTGACTAGATAACTAAAAGGAAGCGATAGGAGCTCAACTCAATAATCAAATTATTGCAACAACTGTCTGCTCAGGTAAAAAGTAAACACAAATAAACTTTGTGTCCAGTAAAGGGTTATGCCATGCCTGTTCATTTGCTAACACACTACCCTCAGCACAATGTATTTCTGATCTTTGATGAGTCTCATTAAGCTTTGAATATATCGTCATTCTACACAAATTGACACATTCTCCCATGCACTGCTTTTTATACTTCAAAGCCACACACACTTTGTCATTTTCCATATTCCCCCCCACCAATTCTCTATTCAAAATATCCTATCACCTCTCCTGTTTCACTCTTAGCTTTTAACTATATTATTTATTACTCATCCAAACCTATGACTCACTTATTTTTGAATTTCAAACAGTTTTCTCTTTCTTCTCAATAGAACCTGAATTTTCATAGTTTAAATCAGGTTTTGCATCCTTAAATATCTCCCTCATTTATAATCTATACCCCAGTCATATGGCAAATTTCAAATTCACATGTCAGTGAAAATATCAATGTAAACATAGCAGTAAAAGTTATAAAGTTATTCTATGCACTGTTAAGGAGATACACAGGTTTGGATGTAACTCAAATCAGGAGAACAAAATGTTTCTTGCACCTCTCAGAGCAGCTATATCTGTATCAATATTTAGATGGAGCCCCTTTCATGGCAGAGTGACTCTGTAATTATACCAAACTCTGTTAGATAATGAAATAATTTCTATCTCCACATAAAAGGCATTGCAATAGCTCCATGAAGTACAGTTCCCTCAATTGGTTTCCTTAACTCATTAGAAATTTCAAAATTTATAAACTGTTTTATTTGCTACGCAGGAAACATCCATGAAGAGGAAGCTAAAACTTGTGACCATTGTTATGTCAGCATACAACAGGACCCATGCACATCCATCAACCTTCATTCTCATTGGCATTCCAGGGTTGGAGGAGGCTCATGTCTGGATTTCCATCCCTTTTTCAATGGTCTACTTTTTAGCCATCTTGGGGAACTTTTCACTTCTGTTTACCATCAAAACAGATCCCAGCCTCCATCAGCCAATGTACCTCTTCCTCTGCATGTTGGCTGTGGTTGACCTTGTGGTGTGTACTACAGCTGTTCCCAAACTTCTCAGCCTCTTCTGGTTCCAGGACAGAGAGATTCGCTTTGAAGCCTGCCTCACTCAAGTGTTCCTGATTCACTCTTGCTCCACCATGGAGTCTGGCTTCTTCCTGGCCTTGGCTTTTGACCGTTATGTAGCCATTTGTAATCCACTAAGACACCCAGCGATTCTGACACACACTGTAACTGGGGGAATGGGCCTAACTGTTGTACTTAGGGGCACAGCACTTCTCATTCCTCACCCTTTCTTGCTACGTTGGCTTCCCTACTGCAGAACAAACATAATTTCCCACACCTACTGTGAGTTCATGGCCCTCATCAAGATTGCCTGTGCTGAGACGAGAATCCGCAGAGCCTACAGCCTCATGGTTGCCTTCCTTACTGGAGGAGTGGATTTTATATTGATCATTTGTTCTTATGTCCTCATACTCCATACTGTCTTCCACCTCCCATCCAAAGATGCCAGACTCAAGACCTTGGGTACCTGTGGTTCCCATGTGTGTGTCATTTTAGTGTCCTACACTCCAGCCTTTTTCTCTTTTCTCACACACAGGTTTGGGCACCAAGTGGCTCCCCACGTGCACATATTTGTGGCCAATATTTATCTTCTTATCCCTCCCATGGTGAACCCCATTATTTATGGTGTAAGGACCAAGAAGATGCGAGATAGGTTCCTTAAGTTGTTCAGGTCTTCAAAATCTCTTAATTGACTTATTTTTGTTGGTGAGTGATAGCTGAACAAAAGCTCCTATTATCTATCTTAGAATGTGTGGCTTCTTTGTTGAGTTATTTCAATGAGCAGATGGCTAGGAATTTTTCCTTGGGAAGTAACCTATGCAAAGATAATTGCATTTTTAAATTGATGTAACTGTGGATTACATGTGCATTTCTTAAATGTTTTTCAATTAACTAGTGGGATTGCTCTAAAATGAGAATGTCATTATTCTCCTCAAATATAGTCATTTGAATCTAAACACTCTGATTTTTATTCAATGTATTGAAATGTTACAATTATTATAAGTGCCAAAATATTGTCCTTATAGAAAACATGAGTCTGATAATATTTGAAAATCAAATGAACAGAAAAAAGGGAAGTTGCGAGGAAAAAACTCCCTTTGAACTGACTTTTCCTCAGTAATTTTTCATCACTATCTTTTTGGATGCTGGTGGTTTTTTTTAGTTTATTATTATTCCTACATTATTTCCCTCTTCTCCTTTAATGAGACAGTCTTACTTTGTCATCCAATCTCCCTGGTATAGGAAGTGGAGACCAATTAAATTTTTCCTATTTATCTTTCACATGTCAAGGAAAAATGTCCTAATTTTTAAAGAGATAATAGAATTCCAGTGTATCTGTAAAAATTTGAAATTTTGACAAGATTTTGATCATGTGCTTTTTATTCATTGCAGAATAATGATTTTTGAGCTTATAAGTTCATTGGAATTAGGCCATTTGAATTACATGACTCTATACATCTTATCTCTTCATTTTTTTATTTTTACATCTACAAATTTTTTTAAATATACTCAGTATTTTAGGTACAGCAAATCAAAGATTATATACAGTAAAGAATATTTTGATATGTTACCTAGAATCTTTCTTATCCTTTATGATGTTCACAAGGATGTTCATTTCAACTTAGCAACCAGCTTATCTAAGGTACATAAAAGTCATAACAATCATTACCTTCAGACAGGTGTATCATCAAGTAGAATTGCTTTTTAAAATATTATTTCCTCAAGCCAAACTAATCTAAAACTCAAAAGACAGCATTTAAAGCAAAAAAGAGATATAAAAGAGAGGATAACTATGGAACAGAAAATATACAATTAAAATGGCAATTATAAGTATTTATTTATCATTAAAAACATTAAATATAATGTAATAACCAATTAAAATATATACAGTAAAAGACTGGAATAAAATATATCCAACTAGATTCTGTTTATAAAGGTCTCGCTTCAGATTGAAGGACACAGTGACTTGAAAGATAAAGAATAATTATTCCATACCAAAAGTGAGTAAGGGTAGATATACATATATAAGGAAAGAAGAATTATACACAAAAAGTTATTATAAGAGACAAAGAAGGACATTTGGTAGTGACAGAAAGATTAATATAAAATGAAGATAAATCTACTATAAATATTTACCCAAACAACAGCAGAGCATATGAATATATAATGCAAACATTGACATAACAGAGGGGAACTAGTGATAATAGAAGTCTTAATTTCCTCGCCTCAATAATCAACAATTCATCCAGAGAAAATTTACTAGGGAAACAGTGGGCATGAACATCGCTATAGACAAAAGAGACCTAAGCAGATTACCACAGATCACACAAGCATTGCAGTAGAATTCACCAGGTCCTCAAGCACATGTGTAACATTCTTAGCAGAGATTCACAGGGCAGGTCACAAGCAAGTCTTCACAAATTTAAAAAGATTTAAATCACATCAAGTGCCCTTTCCAAACATAATGGAATAAAAATAAAGGTCAACAAAAACGGAAATTTGGGAAAGTTGCAAATACATGACAATTAACACACTCAACCATTACATAGAAAACAATCATCTGGTGAAAAAGCATTCAAGTGAGAAATGAGAAAATATTTTGAGAAAAGTGAGTATTAAACACAAAATAACAAAACACGGGAAGCAGCAAAAGCAGTCAGATGGAAGCACATAGTGATAAACACACTGAAAAAGAAAAAAGGTCTCAAATAAATAATCTAGCTTTACAATACAAGGAACTGAAAAAGAATAAACCAAGCCTAAAGATATGGAAAGAAGGAACAATAAAATTTATTACATTAATAAATAAAATAGAAAAAATAATACAAATAAATGTATGAAAGAACTAGTTCTCAGAAAAGATAAAGAAAATTGACAAACTTGTATATTGACAAACCAATAAAAACTGAGAAGACTCAAAACTAGATATGAAAGAAGAGACAGTGTAGCTAATGCCACAAAATTAAAAGGACCACAGGTGTCTATTATGAAAAATTATGCACCAAAAACCTGGAAAACCTCAAAGACATATATAAATTATTAGAAATATTACCTAACAAGACTAAATCAAAGAAGATACAAGAATTGAGATAATAAAACTTCAGGAAATTGAAGCCACAATGAAAATCTTCACAACATAGGGACATTCAGGACCAGATGACTTTATAGGTAAGATCTATTAAGCATTTAAAGAAAAATTATTACCAATCTTTCAAGAAATCTCACACAATATAGAGGATACTTCCAAACTGATTTTATAAGGTCATAAATACAAGAAAACTGAAAGTCAATGTTCCACAAAATCCTCAATAAAATATTAGCAAATATAATTCAACAGTACATTAAATGTATCATACACCCTGACCAACTAGGATTTATTCCTGGAGTATAAGGTTAGTTTCACATATCCAAATAAAAATCCATGAGCACCACATTAACATAATGAAAGATAAAAATCCTATAATTATCTTTATTGATGCAGAGAAGGTACATTTCACAAAATTCAGAATTCTTTAAAATAACAGTTCTCAACAAACTATGTATAGAAGGAATTAATCACAACTTAACAGAGGTCATACACGTAAAGGTCATACTCAATGGTGAAAACCATAGAGCTTTTTTTCTATCATCTGAAATAAATAGAGGATGCCTATTTTCACCACTTTGCTTTAACATGTAACTGGTAATCCTAGCTAAGTGATTTGGCACCAAAAGGAAATAAATGATATCCAAATAGAAATGGGAAAACTAATAAAAGTAAAAATATAGGTGAAGCTACATCAAACTATAAATCTTCTGCAAAGAAAGGAAACAAGCAACAAAATAAAAAGGTAACTTATGAAATGGAAGAAGATACCTGTAAGCTATATATCTGATAAAAGGTTAATATCAAAATATATGGTGAAATAAACTCTATAAGAGTAGATTAAAAACTATGTAAAGACCTTGAATAGTCATTTATCCAAAAAAGACAAAAATGACAAACAGAATAGTATCCCAGTGTCTCTAGCTTCTGTACCTGCAAATTTAACAAATTGGGAGTTAAAAATATTGAGAAAAGATTACATTTGTACTGAACATGTAAAGACATTTTCCCTTGTCATTATACCTTAAATGAGATAGTACACAGCATTTATGTTTTATTAGACAATATAAGTAATACAGAAATGATTTAAAGTATGTAGGAAAATATGTGTAAATTATATGCAAATGCTATGCGTTTTATAATGACTTCCATATATGTGGATTTGTTATCCTCAGGGGTCCTGAAATTAATACACCATGGATGCCAAGGGAGGATTTTATGTGAAAGTTTCTCAATATCTCTTATCATCAGGGAAATGTAAACCAAAATAAAAATGACATATCCATTCAAGCAAGTTAGAGAAACTTAACATTCACACACACACACACACGCAAGCACACACGCAAGCTTTTATGTATTGTTGAGGACAAAGGAAAATTAATGCTTTCTACACTGCCAGTGAGAATGGAAATTGGTATAGTCACTATGGAAAACATTATGTTTCCTCAAAACATTAATAGTAAAACTGATATGATCCCTCAATTCCACATTTATGTATATATCCAAAGGTATTTAAACCAGGATTTCAAAGAGATATTCTGAAATCTAGACTTTAACAGCATTATTCGCAGTAGGAAACACATAGAATCAACTGGGATCTCCATTGACTGAAAAATAAAGAAAGAAAAAACTTAGACTATACATAGAAAGAGATTACTTATCGTAAAAAGAAGGAAATCCTGCTATTTGCAACAGCATGGATAAAGCTGAAGGACATTTTGCTAAGTGAAATGAGACAGACAGAGAATATTTAATACATACCACTCATCTGAGGAAACTAACTCACTATAAAAGAGAGTAGGATTGTGGTTCCCAGGAGTTAGAGGAGTTAAAAATAGGCACTGGTAAAAATATACAATGTCTTAGTTACATGAAGTGCTTAAACCCTAAAGAGCTACTGTACAGTGTAGTGCCTCTAGATAAAATTATACCCTTAAAATTTGCTAAGAGTGTATACATCATGTTGTGTTCTTATCAGAAAAAAATAACAAAAATGCTAAATTAATTAAGAGGAAACATTCAAAGGTAATGGACAGTTAATGTGGTGAGAGTCTCAAGTTGTATACTTATCTCCAAATTCACCAAACTATATTCGTTAAACATGCACAGCTTTTGTACTTCAACGTAGCAGTTAGGAAGACAGAGATTGCAGAAGCAGATATGATTGTTATTATTATTATGAAGTTTTAGAATAAAATATATAACTAAAAATAGGAAAAGGATGAGGTTTATTGATTACTTTGTGAATAGACATAAACCTTTTGTAAACACTGTATTGGAGTAATCCATGACTGGTTACATTCATTTTCTCATGACTTCAGACTGTAATTTATAAGAAAATGCAATTTCGCATTCAAGAATAAGCATTTTTGAGTCAGCATATCTCTGTTTTAGGTATTTCAATCAACTCAGTAAAGCCCGATTATATAAATTCCTTAAAAACATCTTTGCTTTTTCTTACCTTCTTCTCAAGTTGCTCCCTCTGTTTTCCTATCCCACTCAGTTTCCCACTTCTCACTCATGTGTCATATCAATGTAGTCACTTCTTATTCCAAGTTTGTAATTTATTTTAATGTGATTGTATTTTAAGGAATATCGTACAGGCAA